CATTTGGTGTCTCGTAACTTGATGAAAGAAGCTTCAGAAGCGGGAAAGAAGAGTACAAGACAAGTTTGGGAAAAGTTTTGAGAATGTCACGAAGAAATAAATGAGGAAATAAATAATGTAGTAAAATGTTGCAGTTGCAGATGATCCCAGTTTAACTTTCAACTTGTCACTTCCTCGGAAACTAAGTACAGCAGGAGAAAGAGAGGTGATTGCAAGCACTGATAGTAAGCTGCTGCTTATTAGCTGAGTCACAATAATTGAACCCGCGTAGCCGCTTTGAGTTGCTAAGTAATGCATGCTAATGCTTACTTTTTGCCTGAAGACTTAAATGCCTCATAGATATTGATAGATACTGGTTTTAGTCAGTTTTACTTAGGTAGACTACATGCATTCTTTATTCATACAACTTTTTCAAACTTGACAGACTAAAACCTCAATGTCTCCTCATGGAAACGAGTTCATAGATTACTTACATGTAGTATAAAGCAGTGCTGCTTTTTTTTGTGTTGTAAAGAAGTTGCTTTTTAAGGTACACAAGCAAATCCATTGTAATCCTATTCCTTTTATTTTTAAGAATAAATAGATGTTTCTCATTTATGTTCTTTACCCAGAGTAGGGATTGTTCCTCTTTAACTTACATTGAGTAGTTAAAGCTTCAATGTTTTCACTGTTTTCCAAGATTTTGCTAATCTAAGCAGCAGCACCTGTGCACACACCGAGAATTTTCCTAGAAATTGTAATGGCTTTTGAAAGCAGGCAGCTGTTTGCACTCCTGTTGTAGCCTGTGTCCTTTTTATCTCTGTTCATAAACAAATTTTTCTTTGCCTTTAATAATTTTTACTGCCCATCTCCCAACCATTTCAATTTCCACACTAATCTCTTCGAGATTTTGTGATCAGAACTGAATGCCATGATCACAGTGAGGATGCATCACTGTTTTGCACAATAACATTATAATATTTTCAGCATTATTTTCTCTCTTTATCTCAATACAGCCTGACAGCCGGCTTTCTTCTAACTATCTCTGCTCATGGAGCAGGTTTTTCAATAAGCAGATGTATCCACCATGATACATCTTTGCTTCCCTGATTGTTACCATGTGAGTCACTAAAATGGTTCCTTTAAATGTGAATCACTTTGCACCTATCTGTCCTGTATTTCCTCTGTCATAATGTTCCCCCGGTGTGTTGTAAACAGGATCTGTAAGTTGTTCATGGTATGCTGCACTAACTTAAGAAATTCACGTGTTTCTCCTGAATCAGCTTCACCATTGTTCACCATCTTTTCTTGCTGCTTGCTAAAACCATTAAAAATTTTAGTATAAATCCTTAGATCTCTACTTGTAGTCTCCTTGCTTGAAAAGGGATGATTTGTTCCCTCATTTTACGTTTCTTGCTTTTTTAAGCTGTTTATATCTCATAATAGAAGAGTACCCTGTAACCTTAACTTCTGCACTTCCTCCATGCCTTTCAGGAGGGATTTTGTCAAAATCCAGGTTGTGTGGCTAAATGCACATTTTTTTCAAGAACAAATGAGCTTGTTGTAACAACTTGTTAGCATTGTCATTTGTTATCAGATTTGAAAATCTTGTTTTAAAGTGCTGCTTCATATCTTTAGCAACACATGTTAACACCAACACAACTGACAGAAGAACTTGAACCATGAACTGGCGTCTTCTGAAATTTAGGAAAGGATTCACCTTGCTTAACTTAGTCATAGAGCAGTTAGGTATCATCTGGTGGAAGCTAGTTAACTAGGTTTCCTGTAGACACAAAGAGACATAGACAAGGAGACATATGCATGTCCAATGGGCAACTCAAGCTGTCAAAATAGAATAATTTTTAGCTAGTTTGAATCTCTAATAGGTATCTCAAGGTATCTGTTGTCGCCATTGCCATGAGAGGGGGCTAGGGTAGCTGGTTTAGGATAGACAGTTAATTCTTAGATAAGTGAAACTAGGTAAGAAGAATCCAGCTGCCAGTGATGACTGCGGTTCAGAACACATTCTTGTTTAGGAATTCCTTCAACAGCTTTCCTAATAATTGGTGTTTTCATAACTATTTTCTTGCCCACACAGAAGCAACTTCTAGACATTCTGTTGTTCTCCAGTGTACCTCATCAAGCATGTTCCCTTCCTGCTGTTGTCTGGCTCTTTCCTTCTAGATTCATTAAATCAGACCTGTAGTCCCAGTTGTCCTCAGTCTTGTTTTATCGGCACTGCCTGCCAGAACTTTTCATATTTCATTGTGTCTTATAGCACTACCAGCTTTGGGCTTCTGCCAACTCTAACGCAATAAAGCGACCTACTAGGCAGCATTTTCTTAGGTAGTCAATTCCCCATCTTCATTGTCATTGGCTGTCATGCTCGAGATTAAACTGTTGAAAAGTCATAGACAGCTCTCAGGTGGGTCTGTGGTCATTTTTGTACCTCTGCTTTCCAAATTTCATGCCAGACATTTTCTTTCTGCAGTCTCAACCTACCACATACACCCTACCATCTCATTATCACAACTCCGTGCAATCCCTTGTTATCCTCTCCCACTAAAATCTAACCAGCTCTCAATCACTTTCTCTCTGCCATGCTCTTACTGCTTTGATACTGTCTTGCTTTATGAGAAATGCACTCTTCTTTCTCTCTGTTTGAATATAGCCACTGAACTGCGTTGTCTCAATCCAACGTAGTTTTTCTTTTGCTTTTTACATGACATTCAGTGATGAGGGTGACAATTTTTCACACTTCTTTCTCTTTTCCTTTACCATCAGCATGGCATAATTCCATTTCATCCATGGATAAAATTACTAGATTTTTGAAAGTCAAGATTACCAGTCTGTTTACTAATACAAGGGACTACATCAGATTTTCCGTGCCACAGCAGGAACACTTGATTTGTAAGTTACATCTCTTCCTGACCAGTTTTCTTTGTGACATCTGCACTTGTAGGAATAGGATATCTCAAAAAAGTTAATCTAACTGCTCCACACCATTGGGAATAGGAAGACATCCCTACACTGACCGTGTCATTCCAAGGAACTGAGACAGAGAGAGAGTACTGTTACCTTTGAATTATGCACTTACCTGCACATTTAAGTCTGTTACTGTAATACTGACATTATATCACTCCTGATGGGGGTCAGAAAGATGATT